CTTTCCCTATCTGTTAATTGAAGCAATCTTAACAAAATCTTAGGAGTAATGTAAATACCCCACAAATAAGCTTTTTGGTGCATACCTGTCTTAATTAGTTTCAACTTGATGTGACTAATTCTGCAGTTCTTTTTCAAGAGTCAGATCATATTCTTGCGGAAAGGATGCTGGAAGGGCTTACAGACACAAGATCTGGGGGGAGAGGAAAGGGGTGGAAGATCTCATGATTAAGTTATTGGGGCGGGCAAACAAAAAGACTTACAGTAAAAGAGAAGAGGGATGGAAAAGTATTCCCGTCTGGCCAGAGAAGTGATGGAGTCTCTCAGATGAATGTAATCTCCTTGGTTTCCTCTCCAGTGTGCCATGTGTACCCTGTAATTTTTTTTTTTTTACTGTCTGTAGGTGCTTTTGATACCTACATCACTATTTTGCTTATGATGTAGGGCCTGAAAATGCACCAAGGATATCTAACATGAACATGAACGTAGACTTTAATAGCAGAAATGTACAAGCACTTTTTTTTTTTTTCAACCTGTAACTTTATGTATGACTCCCAGGCTGTAGCAAAAGACTGTTACGATAACCCTCCTGTTGTATTTTCTAGTGTGCTCTGAAAGTCTATGTCTCTCTTATATAGGAAGATGTCTGGTAGTGGTCTCTTGAAAACGTGCTTTCTGTAATTTCTACTTTGTACTTACATACTGTACTATTGCTTTTTCCCCTAGTTCATCATTCTTGTTGTTGACAGCATTGATAGAGAGCGACTTTCTATTACAAAAGAAGAACTTTATAGAATGCTGGCTCATGAGGTATGGTGAGCAGTTGGGATAATAGTTTTCTTTTGCTGTGAACAGTCAAATAACGTTACATGCTTCCTATGTAAAGCAGAAATTATACTGTCACAAAATTTTCTGAGTCTAAATGTGTGCGTGTTGGTTACGTTTTAAACCCACGTAAATTATAAATAAACAGGAAAATTATAATTAGCAATCTTCTAATAGTGTTTGCTTGATTGTAATCAAATCACTCTTTACTTTGCAAATGTTGAACTTGTATAATATGTTAAACTTCATATTAATGTAACTGGGTATTATTGTTCTCCACTAGTTCCCCTTCTTTCAGTTAAATGTTTAAAATTTCAAGAAGCCTTTTTTAAAATTAGAACATGTCTAATACTATGGATAAATTAGTTTTGGTTGAGTTTCCTTCCGAATTATTTTATTTGTAGTTTTGTTATTATATGTGGTATTGAGTACTGTTCAACATTGGGTCAATTTCCTCAAACACCCTAAATTAACATCTACATCGGATTAGTTAAAGTACATTAAAACTTCTGTGATCATTCTCAAGCTACATTAGGATCGATTTAAATCTAAATATCTCCATTTTTGAAGGAAAAGGATTTAGTCCAATGCAAGTAATTCTGGAATTCATTCCTCTGAGATACTTGCATTGTTTCAAATGTTTGAGGTTTTGACTTTATAGTTAATGTAGTTTGTATCTGGTAGTAAGGAGCAAATACTCTACCAGAAAAGGTGGAAAGATGACTTTTGTGGTGAAATTTTCCCATGTATTATAGTAGTTTCAAGTGTTATGAACTCTTAATAGATTGTGGTCAGTCATTTCTTGAAAAGAGTCGGTAGGCCTAGATTGGACTACTTGTAGGAGGGAATTTTCAACTTTGGATCATAAAAGTTTGGGGTTTTTTTTCTCTTGATGGAGAAATAGTTGCAGAAATTAATATACATTTAAATGGGTTGAACACTTAATTACGACTGTCAGCTTCCTGAGTATTGCATTTGTTTACCCCCCTGCACTCCTAAAACCATACATCCCAGTTCTTCTTTCATTGCTGTGTGGAATACTAATTTCCATACAGAAACAAAACAACTTAGTTTCTGGTTTTATTAAAGCTGCTGCAGCATTGTTAGATCTCCCTTTTTGGAACAATAGGGTAAAACTTACAATAATTTAGATAGCTTTCTTAAATTACTACTGCTTTAATCATTACAGAACTTGTTTAACGAAGTTCAAAGTAATTTCAAGGAAATGATCTATATCATTCAATTTGAATAGTATCTAATGTAGATTTTTGGAATGTTTATCCAGTTATGATTCTGCTGGCTGGATGGTTTAGCGCTTTAGGAAATACATTTTAATAAGACTTTCATATGAACATGTGGTCAACACCAAAAGGATAGTTGTATAATACATTGAAATTCAATTCTCTGGTGAACGCTTCTGAATAAATGGTCTTCTTCAGTCTTACTGCATTAAAATTTAATTACATTAGGTCTGTTAAAATTCCATGCTGCTGTGTAATTGTAGATTAGCTTGAACACAGTTCTCTTAAGAACTTCAGTTAATGCAATAGCCTTTTAGTCCTTTATAATAACTATTATGAATACTCTAAATTACTTTTAGGATTTACGGAAGGCTGCGGTTCTCATCTTTGCAAACAAGCAGGACATGAAAGGTTGTATGACAGCTGCCGAGATATCTACATACCTCACCCTTAGCTCCATAAAGGATCACCCGTGGCACATTCAGTCCTGTTGCGCGTTGACAGGAGAAGGGTAAACGCTTACTGCTTAGATTAGTAATATATAGTAAATGAGAATGGCGTCAATAGGTTTCTAGATCAGCAATGTGGATTTCCTGAAAGAATATATTTTCTCATCTTTGCAGTTAGAGGGACAATTTGCATTTTTCCTTTTCTTTATTGAATTTTATGGATTTTATTCGTAGTTCAAACTCTTAAATTTTGTATGAAAGTCTTACAGCTTATTGTGTGGTGTTTTTTTTTTTTTTTTTATAATAACATCCCCCCCTCCCACCCCATAGAATTCAAACACACCCCCCACCCCACCCCCCATATGTAGCTGTTGGCATAATTGTTTATTCTCTGTATGCTATCCTCTCATTCTGTGTGTCTTTTGTGTAGTTAAAGAAATAAGCTACTGTCATCTTCCTTCACATTCTGATCTGCTCTAAGCTTCTAAGCTCGGGGTAGGCTAGGGTGATTTAAGGGTTTTCATTGGTTGGTTGTGTTTTTCGATAAAGCATTCAAACATACTTTTGATGAAAAAGTACATAGATCTGACATAAACCAAAATTGTTGATCTGACATAAACCAATACAATACTAAACCTTGTATTTATATCTGGCTGTTGGCTGATAAAGCTAATTTTGAAACTTGTATATCTTGTGTCAGCAATTACTACGGTGGAAAACCAAGCTTTCCTTGGCTCCTTTGTCTATAAAGATCAATACACATTTTTGGATGCCTGTAACAAGTTGGATAGTGTCTTGCTTACATGGTTAAGTGTGCTTATTTTTCATCTCGATTCTTAAAGCAGTGTTCTAATGTGTAACAGAGGCTTTTTTTAACTGTTGTACAACCTTGATAATAATGTGGTCTTGTGGCATGAAAAATAGTGAATCCAACTGACTATCTGGGATATGAGAGCACCTCCCTCATTTCTAGCATCAAGTATTTTCTAACTTAAGGGAGGTGTTCTGTAGGATGGTCAGTGTCATTCAGTTCTTTAAGGTGGGTTGTATTACCGAAAACAAACTTGTTTTTTGATTGAATATTTGGATTGTATTGTTTCGTTTTAAGAGTTAGCTCTGTTTTCCTCCTACCAGTTTTGCCAAAGTAATTTTTGAGTATTTAGTTTATGTACTAATTTACATCTTCAAAGAAGTTGGCATTTGGAGGAAGGTAGAAATTGATTAATATGAACTTTGGTTTAGAAACATTGGCCATCCTAGGCAGCTTCTTTCTTATTTAAAAAAGACAAGTAATGAGAATATTTCACACTGTGACAATAGTGAGACCAACTCAAAAAAATTCCAAGTTAGATCGCTGAGCTGAATCTTCCTTAGGAAGATCTGACAGAAGTCTAGGGAGATTAGCCCCGTGTGAGTGAAGCTAACCCTCTTGGATGGCTGTGTCATGGGATGCTTTACAAAGGTGAAGGTAACTAGATCCCTAGAACATCAAAGGAAGCCTGTTTTCTGAAATGGAAGACTTAGAGTTGCACAAAGAGTGAGTCAGCAGATTAGGTCCTGTGTGATCTTAATGTTGAATAGAAGTATAATTTCAGTTTTTAGTGGGATTTTGGAATTCTTGATACACTGGCTTTTCGTGAACCAATGCAGTCTGGATATCTGTTCTTTGTCTTTTAGTAATAGTACGTAAAGATCTAGCTTTCAAGTAAGCAGTTTTTCATGGGAAACCTCTAGAAAAATAAAAAGTTATTTTTGTTTGCATGTACTTATAAGTAAGCATGTTAAGAACAGTCTTTTAGATTTTACAAGGAAAAAATATTTGAAGGAGTGCAGAGCTTCAGTAAAATAGCATGCATGACCACCTTCTTGTGGTTAAAGTAGACTTTGTTTAAAACACTACTTACACTGTTCAAGTTTCAGTCCCAATTCCAGATGATTTTATTTAAGTGGATGTTTTTAAATGTAAAAACAAGTAGAAAATACTTTAAAGATGTTGGAATAGAGCTAGTACCAATGTAACATTTCCTATCTTTCAGATTATGCCAAGGCTTGGAGTGGATGACTTCCCGTATTGGAGTGAGATAGCTTCTTTTTTTTTTTTTCACCCACAAAAAAAGAAGAGACTTCTATTTATCCTGTGAACATGTACATTTTTCTGTACTTCTAGCTGCTGAGGCAGTGACCATGTTTAATTTATATCAGCCAACCTTCAAGCTGTACTTGAATCAAGTGCAGTTGAACTGAAACACAAAGTATTTTCTTAACTTTTTTTAATACACTAATCTTCAACTGGATGAACATATGTGAATCTGTTTTTAAGCATTTAAATTCCTCTGAATATGTATTCTAACTTTTTAAATGATAGCTTTTTAAAATCTGTTTTATCATTGTCAATATTTCATACTTCCTCTTTCTAAATAGTTTATATAACTTACTAACATAAATGAGCACAGTTTAATAATGAAAAAGTAGCGAGTAGGTTGACTTTACTCTGGCATAGCTTTAGCCTCTAAGGATAACTGTATCTTCAGCTGGACTTCCTGGAACACCTGTAGAGTTCTACCCAGCATTGGAGTTAATAGTTGTGAATACAGACTTTTAAATGCTGAATGAGTTAGTTATAGTTAATATTGTGGTGGCTTTTAACCTGGTATATAATTAAACTTCTGCCTTCAAAGAAATCTATTTCATTCTCAGTTTCTCTGGTAAGTGGTTCTAGGATATGATTCTTTTTTATTTACTCGAAAGTACATCTCTGTACAGTGGCTAAAAATATTGTTATTAAGTGCTGGTTTAGTCATTTAGAACTTAAATATATTTTTTAAAAGAAACCTCTTGATAATTAAATTTGGAATCATGACAGCCAGTGTTATGTGTAGACTTGCTGTAATCTGTTTAAAGTTTTAAATACTGTATACATGAGCCTTCCTCACCTTGTAGTGAGAGTGCTGTTTTCTAAATGAGTGCAAAATCAAAAGGGAAGCCAGATTCATAAACAGAACAAAATCATGGTGCTGTATCTGTAGACTTCACAGTGAAGCTAATCTTCACATTTATTTATCTACTATCAAATATGTTTTCAGATTCTGTTGCAGAGACAATTATTTTGCCTTAATTTTTGGTTTTACTCTCATTTGCAAGAGTAGAGAACTTTTGATGATAATTGAGTTAGATTAATTCACCTGAAATTTAGGAACTGAAAATTGAAAAAGTAGAGCACTTCCTTTTGAAAAACAGATTTTGAAAGGTTGGACCTAGTAACTCTTAATTCACTTTGAAGGGGATGAAGTTAGTTGAGAACATTAGACAGGAAAAAAACAAACAAACAAATTATACTACCCACAAAACCATCTGAGAAAAAAAAAACCAAAAAACCCCATTCCTGGAGAAATCCCAGCATCAGTCAAGGATCTAACCTACAAAAGTGCTTGGCAGCTTTCTAAAAGCATCATTCTGAACTCTTGCATGCCTAATAACCACATGGAGTCTGGTGACTAGAACCATTATACTAAATTACTAGCCCTTTAATGACAAAATTGTTTTGATAATTCAAGCACACTAAGTTTTCTTTAATAAAATTTTAAGGTTTTTTTAATTTAAATTTGATTCCATTTTTCTTTGAACAAAGCTTAATGTAATTTTAAAAGTGTCAGCAAATACGTTGTCCAAAGTGTTAAAAAGAAGACTTTGAATACATGTGGAATCAGTGATTGGTTGAATGAAGTTATATATTAATGCTGGTTAGCAAAAGTCACATTTGGGAGAAAGACTATGTTGAGTGTCAAGTCAGAATGCTCAGAAAATAATTTACATCAGTGAAATGTATTGCTTAAGGAAAAAAGAGGAATGTATGTCAAAGTTAAAATCTGATACTAAAGCTTCATGTTCCGATTATGTTCATGCTAAGAACTGTTCTAATGTGTGAAAATAAGATTTGTTTATTCTTAGGGAAGCAAATTAATAAATGGAAAAAAATAAAATAATACTGTGAATGAGGTTACTTGTTTGGTGACTTAATAATCATGGAATGGTTTGTGTTGGAAGGGACCTTAAAGACCATCTAGTTCCAACCCCCCTGCCAGGGGCCGGGCGAGCCTCCACCCGACCAAA